AGATTACTGATTAATTACCTTAATAGTACAAATCCGTTGTAAACAATATGACTTTCGTTATTCTTATCATAATTGTGATTGTGACCATCATTTAAGAAAAGTTTAATATGTAAATCTATTCATTTCAAAACAAACAAAACAAACAAGGGAGTTTATTTACAAAAATTAATTAAAATCTCAATAGAATAAAAAGAATCAAACTTATGTAGAACTTTCTTTCAAAGAACAATTTTTTGAAAATAAATAACCAAATAAATAATTATAAGCAAAGATGGATAGTGACTAGTAGTGGAATCCAGGACGCGCGTTTCGTCCTATTTGAGACTCGTCAGCTGGATGTACATGCATCTCAGAGTTTATATTCACTCTGGGACTCGAACTCAATACCTTTAGCTTCAAACGCCATCGTGTTATCCACTCAGAATTCATTGACTTTACGTTACAATCAATGTAGTAAATTATTTGAATTAAATTATAATCACAATAGTAACTCAGATCGACAAAGCAACAGCAGCATGTTTACAACTGAAGAACATCTGGAACTCAAAACAATTGTCAACCAACACCAAGATCATAATTTTCAATACAAATGTCAAGACTGTTCTACTGTATGGGGCGGAGACGTGGAAAACTACGAAAGCCGTCATCCAGAAGATACAAATGTTTATTAACATTTGTCTACACAAAATACCTCGGATCCGCTTGGCAGACACTATCAGCAACATTTTATTGTGGGAGACAACAAACCAGATTCCATTTAGCGAAGAAAGAAATCAAGAAGAACAGTTGGAAGTGTATAAGACACACATTGAGGAAGTTACTCAACTGTGTCATAAGGGAAGCCCTTACACGGAATCTTAGAGGCCAAAGAAGAAAAGGAGGGCGAAAGAACACATTACTCCGAGAAATAGAGACAGATATGAGAAGAACGAACAAGAATTGGATAGAACTAGAAAGGAAGGCCCAGAATAGAGTGGGGTGGGTTAGAGAATGCTGGCCAGCTGTCTATGCTCCATTAGGAGTACGAGGCGTAAGTAAGTAAGCACAACAGTAACTACATCTTGTTTACTCCTTGTTTACACTTCCTCACGGAGCTAGTACTTTAACAAAATGTCTTCATATATATATATATATATATATATATATATATATATATATATATATGATTGTACAGCTTGACAATGAATTCGTTTAAAAATTTCACTTCGCTGAACTTTGTGTTTTTTAATAAGAAAGTAATTAGTATTATTAGTAGTATATTTTTTCAATCAAATAAATATAGTGAAGAACACTATTGATAAGTTAAAATAAAAAAAACTGTGTGTTTGAATCCTTGAAATTCTAAAGGGAAACAGAAAAGAGTAAAAAAGACCAAGTAACACACTGGATCAATAATTGGAAGCAGATATCAAAAGAATGAATAGTAACTGGAAACAATTGGAAAGGATTTTCAAGGACATAGTTCGATAGTGCATGTTAATGGTTGGTGTATGTTCTTTCACTAGAGGTAATAGGCATAAGTAAGTAAGTAAGTGTTGAAGATCGGATATTTGCTATTTAAGATAGATAGTTTCATTCACCATGTAAAGAGTATTCTGACAAGACAGAATAAATACGAAAAAGCAAATCATCTTACTTCCTACAAATTCATTCACTGAGATTTTACAAATATATTATTCCTATTTAATGTCTTACATCAACTCGGCGCTCAAATACTGTGAAACTATTCGCTCTAATTTAGACGAGAGTTCTTATATATTATTCTGCAAATCATCTTATTTCATAATTTAGTGTAATTGTTATGGAATATTATTTACCTGTTTCATTCACTATGAAAACTGCTCAGAATAGTGTTTATTTTTAGTGTAATAATTTGCTCAACATAAGGTTGGTTTCATTATTTTTAGTATGATTTTTATCTAATATGTTATTCTTTGTATTAGATTATTATAAACTATCGTCAGAATTTTATGCAGCATGCGATTTGTTAGAATTCTGGCCATGTTTCATATATGTGACTTTTACGAATTAATAAGCAAATGAGGGTATTTTCAACCATTATTGTCGTGTTTTTCACTTGTATCGCTATTTTGTGTTCTTGCCTCACGTCGTAGGAATGTAAGCTTTTTTTAACTCGTTTCAAGTATGAGTGATATGTCGAAGCGGATATAACACTCATCTACTAGAATTACTTAATAGCTGAATTAATTTAATGATACATTAATGATGTGAATAGACTTAAAAGAAACTAAACTGACTATTGAGTCCTCAAGTTTATTCATCATCTTTTTATTGAAGGAAACAAGATCAAACATTTACAAACGTTTGTCAGAATTAGAAATTTATGTTTTTTACATTCTCGTTGTCGATGTTAGAAACTGCAAGTGATTAGTCTCTTTTGTCATATATGTATCCTAAGTACATTGCCTGAATATTTTTAATAAATGTAGTTAGTATTCAGTTGTCGGATTCAGGATGCACATTTAGTCGTTAACAACAACTATGAGAGAATACAAACACTTACAAAGAAAATTCATAATCTTTGCACAAAGTAGTCCACTATGGAATAACAATGTTAAGATGTAGATAAATCTAACACAACTAGGATAAAACCGATGTCCTATATTCCACTATCCAACTTTACTAAAACCATGATTCGAATTATTCATGAGGAATGAACACTTGAGGAAGTGGATCGGACATACATTAAGAAAATCACCAATGTGCATCACGAGGCAATCTCTAACTTCGAATCCGGAAGGGAAGTGGAAAAGAGGAAGGCCAAAAAACACATTACATCGGGAAATAGAAGAAGATATAAAAAGGATGAATAACAAATTGAAAGAATTGGAAAAGATTGTCCAGGACAGAGTTGCATAAAGAATGCTGATGAGTGGCCTATGCTCCTTTACGAGGGTTAAGAGGCGTAAGTAAGTAATATTGCCTTAAACCTGCCGACTTATCGCATTATAAATTTGGATATACAGTTGTAGAACCCAAAGAGAATGAATTGTAAATAACCTTCGCCAATCATCTATCTGTGTTTTAATATGATGGGAATTTTTCTAGAAAGTTTAACACAATAAATAAAACTCTGCTATATCTTGTGGCCGGGTGGATGCCTAGTTGATGTGTGACTTGATGAGACCGCCAATTAGAGAGCAGCGAATTATCGACTGGAACAGTGACACGAAACCCGTACGAGCAGACTAGATTGCTAACCGGTCCTGCAATCTGAACAATGGAAAAATGGTTTGTGAAAGTTTTCATAAGACTATCTCAATGTATTTTTATCACAGCTAATGAACAATCAGCATCATTCGCATAAACTCTCTTATTCTTTATAATAAATAAAAGTTTTAGAATTAATATGGTCATTTAATCAATAGATTTGTATGGAGTTCGGTAACTTTTGATTGTAGTTCCCTTCATGGACTGACTTCGACTGGGTAACACATGAAAACAATGGATCACTTCAAAAGTCAGTAACTATGAGATAAAATAATTTTCGAGTTAAATTAATAGATGACTGAATTTTGGAGTGTAGACAATCGAATTCCAACTCTACAGTCTTATTACAATGAGGTTGCATGAAATGTGAATGTTTTGAGTTTGATTTATGGTGAGATCGCATATTAGGACAAAACATTTGCTCAGTTTTCTGTAGTTTGATTTGGTTTTCTTATTGAATTTTATGACAAAGACTATCCTTGAACTAACTAATTATGTTGACAATCAAGTCTGAAAAAATGAAACACAAGTAAGTAGTAGAGTTTATATTATCCCTATAATTCAGATTTTGAATTGTAACATAAAAAGATGTATGGAAAAGATATAAATACTCCACTTTCCTGTTAGATTTGTTGAAATCATAACTGAAATTATTTCCCATCTAATTGGGATAGTATAAGATTTTAATCTGATCGAACATATTCTGACGATGACAATAATATCAGAAGAGGTTTCTTTGTGGAGATTTCAGTAATTTTATAGTTAAAATCATGAATCAATTGAAGCTAGACCACTGTGAAAAAGCTGTAAGCACTGGACGGCCGTTTCATCCTATTGTGGGACTCCTAAGCAGTGTGCATCCACGATCCCGCGCGCGAAACTGATAGGTCCTGAAGTCGAATCTCGCGAGGCGGGATCGTGGATACACACTTCTGTGGAGTTCCACAATAAGACGAAATGGCCGTTCAGTGTTTGTACGTTTATCATGTTGATCTAGCTTCATTTGACTCATGATTTCAACTATAAAATTACTGAAATCTCCAGAAAGAAACTTCTTCTGATAATATTCATATGCTCACTAGTGATTGGCTTCAAGAGATCTTTATTGGAGTTCCAGTGAGAAGCAGTGACCAATGAACTTCAACCAAGTCTGTTGTGAGATATTTACTAACTGAAGACAATGGTGGATGTGTCACTCAATTTCGTGGATTGGTTGAGGTTAGACATTAACACTATTGGATGCTGGCTCAGTGGTTTAAAAGTTATGCGTTCGCTCACGAGACTAATAGGTCCTGGGTTCGTGGCGGGATAGTGGATCCGCACTTTTGAGGAATGCCACAATAGGAAGAAATGGCCGTTCAGTGTTTGTTGGTCTAGCTCCAATTGATTCATGTTTTCAACTATAAGATCATAATATATGAAAACAAAATATAAAGTCAATTGATACTGTTATTCACTTCTCATCACAATTGTTATTTTTCTCATCTCATTAAAAAAATAAATCAATAATTTATTCTTTCAATATTTTCCTTGTAATGAATGAATATGAATGAAAAATCGTTTAGTTAATTACACCACTTCATTGTTTATTTATTTTGGTGTTCCATATCTATTTTTAAAAAAAATAATAATTTATTGACCAATCACTTTTGCAAAGAATAATTCCTAGGCAATTTTTATTAAGAATAAACCAATCAAATTTGAATAGTTTTTTTTTTTTTTAAAATAAATAAAACATGTGTCTGTTGATTTTTATTTTTTTATTTTTATTTAAAAAAAAATTTTTTTTTACCATTACATGAAATCTTTTTCGTAATAATCATGGAAAATTGTCTTGCCTGAAAGAAATGAAATCATTGATCTAGTTGTTATATTAATTATTATTTTTTCTTTTTTCTGTTTATTCGGCTATTTATCACAAATTCTATTTTATCTTATATTATTTAACATATTTAATATGAAAACTCAAATCAATAAAATGTTCTAATTTTTTATTACTAACCAACTTGACAACAAAGTATTTGAAGAAGAAAATATATATTAATAGTTAAGTAAGTCTATAATGAATTATTTATTATTAATATATGAGTTTTAAATTCAACTTAGTATTGTTTGTTTGAATCTTCCCATCGATTTGTTAGGACTGCAACTGGTCAGTCTCTAATTAGCATATGTACATACTGTGCGTATTGCCTTTAGTTTAATTGATTCCTGTTTTTCTTTCTACTATTATACTACTTTGTATTGATTATTGAAAAGTAATAAATAGAGAAAAAAAATCGATTCATTGTAATCATATACACTTTTGTGGTTTATGTTTATTGTTTAAAGCACAATAGAAAATAATGATTTATATATTTCAATTGGATACATTTATTTCATGGATTGATTGAAGTTAGACATTAAAACCCTTTGGATGTCGGCTGAGTGGTCGCGCTCGTGAGACTGATAGATCCTAGGTTCGAATTCCGCGCGGCGGGATCATGGATGCGCACTACTGAGTAGTCCCACAATAAGACAAAACGGCCGTCGAGTGTTTGCGGATTTTTCATATTGGTCTAGCTTTAATTGTTTCGTAATCTCAACTATTAAGGATACGTTTTTTTGTTTACTTTGTATTATACATGTAATTAAATATATGAGACAAAGTGATCTTCTTTGTTGTTGAATGCTTTGAGTTTGTTTTAATGAATCTGTATAGAGAAAAATCATTAAATAAGTTAATGACAATATGAAATTAATTAAGCTAAAATTAATTTTTATCGTTAAAAAAAATAGTCTAGAAACATTGTATTTAAATGATCAAATGGAAGTTTTAGATTTAATGATTTTGTTATATTAGTGATTATTAGCTTATTATTATTATATCGATTGAGTGCCTGCCTAGTTATAATATATAATGTTATAAGACCGTCAATTAGAGAGTAGGGAATTTATTGATCGCCCAATGATACGCAAAACCCGTATGATCAGTCTTGAGTACTTATCAGTAATGCTTTCTGCCTAGCCCAGACAGTTAAGTCCAGAACACTAATAACAGACTCTGCATTATGAATCATTATTCTCAAACATACTGGGTTTATATACCAAACAAACTGACCAGATCATACCATAGAATAGAAAATAACATTTGTACAAGATTTAGCCAAATGTGTCTGTGAATGTGGGAGGCAGTAATTAATAGACTGGGGATAACTCAAGAATGGTAAATCGTATAATGATAGTCTATGAATCAAAATAAAGCTTATAATAAGAGGAACATGAATATGAATAGTTTAGTTACTTAACAATTATACAATAGGAAATATACATATCACACTGGTCCATAAATAGTCCTCAGAGTTACCATTCATGATTCTACACGGGATATAACAATTATCGAAATGTTTAAAAATAAATTTTTAGATTTATCTTAAAACTTTTTATATTGCTTAATGATTTAGTTGAATATAAAGATATAAAAATCTTATTATTATGTTTCGCTTGGATAAATTATAGGGGAAATATACCTTATTAACACTAGGAAAAAAGAGAATCATTGTAAATGAAATGAATGATTTGTATCTCATAAGGAATTAGTTAACATTTAAAATTGACGATACACATTTTTATCTACAACCATATTTATGGAATACGTAATATATAAGTTACTAACTTCATCGATATCATCTATGATCTTACACAGCATAAGCAAATCTTTTCCTCTAAGTTTTTAAGAATAGATTAGAAAGAACAAAATAGATTCGTAGTCATAAATGCAAATTTCAACACTGAAAGAACAAATAAATAAGTAATAACTCTTTATTATTAAAGCATATTTGAAGCGTAAGTATAAGAAGAAAGTTTTATTTTCCACTCTGTCATACATTATGTGAGGGTTGGTGTTTGGAATAATAATAATAATAATTAATTAATTAATTAATTACGCCTGTTACCCTTCGTCGACGAGCATAGGCCACCAGCATTCTCCATCCAAATTGATTAGCAGACACTATTATTTTTATCATACGATATTATCTTTTCAGATATTTGAAACTAAAATACAATCTTCTGGTAATCATTCATTAGTTACTGATATACATATACTACGCACTTGTGATCTTGAAACAGCGAAATTATATTAGATGATTGACATGAAAGAAAAAAACAATTCGAGAGATTAGCCTGCTTCGAAATTAAAAAAAACACCTATAACACAGTGAGATAGTTATAAGTAAAGATGGATAGTGGCTAGCAGTGTTTTGTCCTATTTAGGACTAGTCAGCTGGATGTACTGCATCTCAGAGTTGATGCTCACTCTGGGACTCCAACCCAGTATCTTCCACTTCAAACGCCATCACGTTATCCACTCAGCTACTGAGTCCTGATAACCACTTACTTGTTCAATGGGGTGAAATTTAAATTCGCTTAGTATTGTTTTTTTTTTAATCTTCCCATTGATGTTTAGGACTGAATAATTGATCAATCCTAAACATCAATGGCAAGATTCAAACAAACAATACTAAGTGAATTTACAATGAGATAATTATTTGTCTGAAAATTTATTATTCTTTGAAAAACCTTCGGAAATTTTTGTTTTTCCCTAATCGATTTTTTTCATCAAAATTCTTTAAACTTCAATTATGTAAGAAATTTTGTATTAAATATAGAAATTAAAATATTTCAATGTATCATTCAATTGTAATTCAACTTGAAATGTTTCAGCGATAACAAAAGTTTTTCTTTTCTTACTGTAAAAAAGGACATCTTGAAACGAGTGTAAAATATGATTACCTATTTTATTCAGTCACATATATACTGAATATCAAAAGGGGGGTTTTGTGGAGATATTAGTAACTTTATTTAGTTGAGATCACGAGTCAATTGAAGCTAGACCACCATGGAAAACCTGGAAGCCCTGGAAGGCCGTTTCGTCGATATGCACTGCTGAGGAGTCCCACAATAGGACGAGCCAATTCAGTTTAATCGAGCGTTCATCGATATTTATTGTCACACAAAAATAAGCTACAGACAAGTGATGAGTAAGATAACAATTGCACGCACGCACGCTCATATAGAAACAGTCAAAGTCGATAAGTGAATAATTGACAAAGTCAAAATGTAGCTTGAGAAGAATGGTTAAGTTGGTTTGTCCAGAAGCTAGAACGAGCTATGTGAGCTTAACATAGTAACTGACACTACACAACTATTCATCCATTGTCTGATATAAATACCTGTGTCTACATGAAATGGACTGAACTCCACTGGTCACAGCTTCTCACTAGAACTCCAATGCTTCCAGATTTTCAATGTTGGTCTAGCTTATATTGACTCACCAAGTCAACATATAAAGTTATCAACAAATTGTGTACAATACAATTCGACTTAAATAACAATTTTTGTCCATATGTATAGCCAGAAATATCCTTCTTCTAAAAAAATTTCTTTCACCTATTTAGAATGCCAATAGAATATCGTCAAAATAAAAATAATACTTCAACTCATCTTAGTTATTATGAATTACCTCATTCAATAGGACGTCATTATATGTCACAAAATTATAATCAACAAAATGCATCAGATCGTCTTTATCAAATAGCTATACAAGCTGCAGTAGCCAAAGCAGAATCTTCTAAATCAACAAATGATGAAATTCGTAAATTTTATCATGATGATAATAAATATAAATTAAATAAAACAAAATTGAACAATATTGTACATACTCATATCAATAATAACGCAGTTACTACAATCAGTACTACAACTACGATAATACCAACTACTAATACTGCTACTACTACTACTACAACCACTACTACTCCTTCGACAAATTTATCATCAAAAGTTAAAACAGCACATTTAACTCCACAACAATGGCAATTATTAAATGATTACCATGAACATGATTTATTTGTACGTACAAGAAGTTGGAGTTTTTGTATGGCAGTTTTAGGTGTTGGTGTAACATTATTTGGTATTGGTAGTCCAGCATGGAAATGGATTGGAGATTGTAAGTTTTCATTATGATTACAACTGATTTTTTTGCTTTTTATCAGTCAATTTTATTTAATTAGTTGGTTGTATTAATTCTAATTATAAAATGGAGAAAGTTGTTAAGTTTCATCAAAATAACGAGTCGATCTAATTTAGACCATCATTGATGATCTGGAAGCACTAGATAGCCGTTTCTTCTCGATATGAAACCCCTTGGCAGTATGTATTCACAATCCCTAAACCTAGGAATTTTGTTCACGAGCGCAAATGGTTAACCTCTAAACTATTGAGTCGACAATATACGGTGCTAATGTCTAACTTTAATCAATCCACTTAATTGCGTCACAATCTTCCATTACCTTCAGTTAATGGCAGTCTTACACATGACACGGTTGAACTCCACTGATCACGGCTTCTTACTAGAACTACGGAAATTTCTTTTCTGTGTGAGTCATGAGTGAGTACATGATTGTGGCGATTGTCGGTTTTCGTTAAAATCACTAATTTAACTTTTTCAATTAACAAGTTATGTTTACTTATGCTTCGTGTAGTCTTACGAGTAATTAAGCGAATAAATCATTTATGTATGTTACTCTTTTTAGGTACATCGATTAATTAGATCACATTGTTTGATCCCTAGTTGTTATCCAATTCAATAGCTTAATTTCCATTATAACGTTCAATATGAGAAACTTGTCATGCTTGTACGTTCTACTTTAGGTTAAGCACTTGACGTAAACTTATATAAAACCCTGAAAGAACTTATCAGTCTTCCCAGATTTATCGATCAATCATTATTTTAATTGTTCAAATAATTCAAATAAGCATCGTTTTTAAAATGGATTTATTTGATGCATATTTTTGTTAACATTAAAGGTTTATAAATTATTGAAATGTTAAACACTGGAAACGAACATACTGCAGTTATTTATACATTTTCCTCTCTCTATTTATCCTTTGAAAAAGCAACATACGATCAGATTGGAATTCCTACTTATGATTCATGATAGTTAATATAATACTTTTAATGACTGAAGATAAATGTTAGATTCTGTTGAAAAATAATTTTATAGTTGAAATCATGAGTCAATTGAAGCTAGACCACTATGGAAAACCTGGAAGCACTGGACGGCCATTTCATCTTATTGTGTGACTCCTCAGCATTCTACATCCACGATCCCGCCTGGCGAGATTCGAACTCAGGACGTATCAGTCTCGCGCGCGAGCACTTAACCACTAGACCACTGAGCTGGCATCCAACGGTGTTAATGTCTAACTTCAACCAATTCACGAAATTGAGCAACCGTCCACTATTGTTTTCAGTGAGTTGATATCTCACAACAGACCTGGTTGCTTGCGTGTGAGACTGATAGATCCTGGGTCCGAATCTCGCCAGGCGGGATCGTGGATGCACAATGCTGAGGAGTCACACAATAGGAGGAAATGGCCTTCCAGTGCTTCCAGGTTTTCCATAGTGGTCTAGCTTCAATTGACTCATGATTTCAACTATAAAATTACCAAAATCTCTACAAATCCCGTTCTGAAAACTAATTGTATAAAAAGAAATTTTTAATGATTAAAATTTGATTGTATTTTAAGTGGAAATCCATTACAATATTACATAATGGTGGCTGAAAATTTTTTAATATAATAATATTTTGTAGTATTACACTTCACTTCTACTTGAAGTTTGTGCTGATGATGTCGTGCAGAAGAATGATGAAAGCTCCACGGCCAAACCACCTAGATCAGAGAATAAAACTCCATCAAAAGTATTGCATATAAATTTGATCAGTTTTATAATTATGAAAGTTTGTAAAATGTTTGTTATCACCATTCACCAAGAACTATCTACAGCTGTGAAGAGACTTATAGTCTTATCATCAATAAATATGCTGATATACTGTAACATGAATGAAAGATTATTTTTAAAAATTTCAATGAGTACCACAAACCTTTCTCTTGGTTACATAAGACAAAATATGACCAAAGGAGACTTTGATTAATTTTATAGAAAGTTAATATTTGTAAGGATGGCTCGTTGGCAAACTCAAGGAAACCTCACAAAGCTCAGAAAGAGCCGAAGACATTCCATCCAATCACCGTTAGAGGAAATACTAAAATGTCAACGTCTAGCTCCCCTATTGAATGAATAAGAAGGCCCCCCTATGTGCCTATTGGCTGTCCGAAATGATGATTAACTTTCAGCCAAAAACTATAAATACATGAGATTTTTGTACAATATTTGACACTGTTTGGAATAACATTCCTACTTACCAGTCTTTTGTCTTCTCATTTTGCGACTTGAAAGGGTTCTAGCGTTCGAGTGCTCAAGTATTACGCGACATACTAAGTTTGAGATATTACAACATTGTCTACGTAAAAGCTGACAACTCAGTCATATCTATTAAGGGTTGTTATGACTAATAAACGTTAAAGTGTATTTAATAGGGTAATTAGATTATGAAATAGATAACTGTTTTTTCACATGCTAAGAAATACTATGTAATTTTAATCACATGTCTGTTTAATTTTTTATAGCTCGGAATCCTTATGAACTTGGTTTGTGGACATTGTGTCTACCGAACAATTCCACTTGTCTTTCAATAATTTACCACTTACAGAATAACTGGAGTAAGTTCATCAGTAAAATAAATAGTTATGAAATTGCATTTCATATTTCCTCTCTACCATTTGTTTCTCTGAAACACAAGTATGACGTATTTAGCAGGTTAAAGTATATATGATTGGAATAAAAATAAGATCATTTACTCACGGAAGTTGAGCAGATTTTTAACAAATGAATGTTGATGACATATTCAAACAAATGATTTTATTTGTTCTAAACCAGCAATAGTTCTATAATCGCTTAAATTTGAGGAATTAAACATACTGATGAATCGCAAGCAGAGATGGATAGTGGCTAGCAGTGGAATCCAGTTTGACGCGCGTTTCGTCCTATTTGGGACTCGTCAGCTGGATGTGCCTGCATCTCAGAGTTGATGTTCACTCTGGAAATCGAACCCAGTACCCTTGCTTCAAACGCCATCGTGTTATCCACTCGGCCACTGAGTCCTGATAGCCAACTTGCTTGTGCGATGGGGTGAGGTTTAAATTCATTCGGTATTGTTTGTTTGAATCTTCCCATCGATTTGTTAGGACTGCAACTAGTCAGTCTCTAACTGGCATATGTGCAAACCGTGCGTATTGCCTCAATATAGCCTTAATTCACAAGCATGGCGTTTGAAGCGAGGGTACTGGGTTCGAGTCCCAGAGTGAACATCAACTCTGAGATGCAGGCACATCCAGCTGACGAGTCCCAAATAGGACGAAACGCGCGTCAAACTGGATTCCACTGCTAGCCACTATCCATCTCTGCTTACCATGCTTTTGAATTAAGGCTATATTGAGGCAATACGCACAGTTTGTACATATGCCAATTAGAGACTGACCAGTTGCAGTTCTAACAAATCGATGGGAAGATTCAAACAAATAATACTGAATGATTTTATATTGATGAATCAATTGTGAAAATTTTTCAGAATTTAGAAATGTATTTTAAACACACAAAATATTACTGTATCGGATTAAGAGTTCTATCTTTGCTCACTTGCTGGACATAGGTCATCAAGTTGAACTGAATAAAACCATTAAGGTTATCCACCGTATTCCATCAAATTTGCAGTATGGTTTACGAGTTCGTCTTCTGTATATTGCTGAAGCCATCGCAACCCATATTCACAAACCGAACCTTTGTATTCACACGAAGTTTGTACAACCGCTCTCTCTACCTTGGCCGTCGGTATAACGGAGTTTGTATAAGAACTTCGGTAAACAATTTTCGTATCTCTTCCATTATTTTTTGTATTTTTGTATTTTGCTTATTCTCAACATTCGTCTCTTGATTCTTACATAACTACTATATTACTGACCATTCATCAAAATATTTTGCTAGTTCTTTCTTCTCTTTTATATATTATGCAACGTAGCAACAGCTTGGTTTTCGAATAATTATTTTGATTATTATTATTCCTCTTTCCTTCAATTATTTAATGTTTATAATCGATTTATCATTATATAACTATTATGTAACGTATCTACTTGAAGAGTGTTATTTCATTATTGTAAATCACCACCAGACTGGTAGGTCCTGGGTTCGAATCTCGTGAGGCGAGATCGTGGATGCGCACTGCTGAGGAGTCCCTTAATAGAACGAAATGGCCGTTGAATGCTTGCAGGTTTTCCATGTTGGTCTAGCTTCAATTGACTCATGATTTCAACTATGAATAATATATATGTATTAATGCAGAGCCATGATGGGAAACTAATTGAAAAGAAATTTCTTCGCTCAATTGGTTTCTTCTTTATTTACCAAATGTCAAAATGAGAATTTTAGCTGTATCTGGTTCTATCAGATAATTATTGCATTCAAAAATATATCAAATTTACTCAAGAAACTAGTCATTATGAAAATCAATTAATATAGGTTTAAAGCTGTAGGATAAAACACCTAAGTTGATGTGAAATTTTCGCGGGGTAAAATTTGTCAATAGAACTTGATGATTGTCTACAGGCTTATGTATTAAATGTCATTAAAATGCTAAAATTTCCCAAGAACAAAAGTTTGCTATTAGTTCATTTAATAATAGATATAATAATATACAAATGTAAAACAAAATAAATATCATTAAAATTCATAAACACTAGGACTTATTGTTGCAACTGGAAATGATTGCCTAGGACGGGGTTGGATAGAAAGCAACGATCGGCTTCCTATTCTTCTCCAGAAGGAGTAACAGGCGTAAGTAAAGTAATTATTTTTCTGACATATAAATCAAAAGTTATTAGATATCCAGAGAGTTAACCGATTCGACTATCTATCAGCTATTTATTTGTTATGATACCAACACAACTGCAATAATCACTGCGTTATTACCAACGTTAGACTGGTTAGATAATGAACAATACATTCACCAAACTATTTACATTTACCTGATACAATTACAAGCTGACTGACCCGTAAATTATTTCCATCCTTATATTCTTCTCTTACTCCTTGATTATTGCGTAACCTCATCTGACAATAAGAGTTTCGAATCAATTTATGATGCAATCCTTTCTATCCTTCCATAGACATATATTTTCCACATAACTATAAATACGAATGTAAATGATCAAGTAAATGATTTCGTTGAAAAGGAAATTTTCTTTGCTGAATTCTCTTCTTATTTTTAAATAATTTGATGTCTCTTTACAGAACTTCATATCTCAATTATATGTCTACTAGGCTGTGCCTGCTTATTTGGAATGATGGGTTTGGGTTTGGCTATTACAGGTGTATGCAAAAGTGCCTTGATTCTTAGACTTTATTATTATCATTCAGCTGGTGAATGCTTTTTGGTTTCTAGTAAGTTTTTCAATTAATCTATTTTCATGTTTATGATTGAATTAAGTAACCAATCATAGTTATGATTGCTCATATAGATTCTGATAGTAAAGTGGAAAGTATTGATCATTATTCCAAAAACATAAGGCATCATTTTCATTCGTCACTGATTATTAATAGTTTCCCATTTGATTCCAATCAAATAAAAACACAAATGAATAATGGAGAATTAGTCCCTGTGATAAATTTGAACAGTGTAATAAGAAGATAAAGATTATCAGAACTATTTGATACAAAACAATATGCACCAATTGAATTACACTTGACGGAAAGGCTTTGGAGAATGTGGAAACCTTTACATATCTGGGAAGATTCATCGATGATTACGGTGAATCTGATGCAGATGTGTGGGCGAGAATCGGCAAAGCAAGAGCAGCATATTTACAACTGAAGAACATCTGGAACTCAAAACAATTGTTAACCAACACCAAGATCATAATTTTTAATACAAATGTCAAGACAGTTCTACTGTATGGGGCAGAGACGTGGAGCACTACGAAAGCCATCATCTAGAAGAAACAAGTGTTTATTAACAGTTGTCTACGCAAAATACTTTGAATCCATTGACCAGAAACTATCAGAAAAATTCTACTGTGGGAGACAACAAACCTCCATCCCGTGGAGGAAGAAATCAGGAAGAAGCACTGGAAATGGATAGGACACGCTTTGAGGAAATCACCCAATTGCATCACAAGGCAAGCCCTTACATGAAATCTTGGAGGCCAAAGGAGAAAAGGAAGACCAAAAAACAAATTACGCCGAGAAATAGAACCAGACATGAGGAGAATCAACAAAAATTGGATAGAACTAGAAAGGAAGGCTCAGGATAGAGTGCGGTGGGTTGGAGAATGCTGATCGACGGCTTATGCTCCATTGGGAGTAACAAGCGTAAGTAAGTACATTCCAAACAATCTCACTACACACGTACTTGTTAAGAACATTCATCTATAAAAATAAAAGGTCAACTAGACAAATGGAAGATAAGGGAAGACAAAGATAATAGAGAAAATAATATCCATCATCCTCTATTACCAAACATATAGTTCAAACAGATTATAGAATTGATCTTGACTCAGCTTTTGTGATGTGGTACAAAAGTATTAAAGGCCGTATATTAAGGTTTATTGAACAAATAGATGATCAATACCAGAAGGGGTTTTTGTAGATATTATAATCATTTTAATAGTTGATATCATGAGTCAATTGAAACTAGACCATCATGGAAAACCTGCAAGCACTCAACGGCCATGTCGTCCTATTCTGGGACTCCTCAGCAGTGTGCATCCACGACCACGCCTCACGAGATTCGCACGCAAGACCTACCAGTCTCGCGCGCTGGACCGGCTTCCAACGGTGTTAATGTCTCACTTCAACCAATCCACAAAATTGAGCCACACATCCACCATTGTCTTCAGTGAGTTGATATCTCACAACAGACCTAGTCAAACTCTACTGGTCACTGCTTCCCACTTAAACTGCAGGAAATACCTATTGAAGCCACTCATTAGTGAGCATATGTTGATTAATATCAGAAGGGGTTTTTGTGGATATTGTAGAAATTTGAGGCTGAATCGTGGATGCGCACTGCTGAGTAGTTTCACAATAGGACGAAACAGCCGTCCAGTACTTATTATTATTATTATTACTATTATTATTTTTATTATTATTATTGATGGCTTTATTCAATATTATAATCTGGTACAATATAGAATTCTCAGCACGAGTTATTTCAACAAGTTTTTTACCAAAAAAAACAACAACCGACTTTATATAAATTATCGAATTTGAGACATGCTTAGGAATACAGGTTATTTACTAGGTCAACTCTAACAGCCTATTCGTCACAAAGTTAATTTGTTAGGTCAGATATAACAGAACTTTTATAGATTTGCTTGCGTGTACGAATTTTAATGTACTTACGTCTCGTTCTACCAGAAGATATACAAGGAGAAAGATATGAATAAAGGGGATGGTTAGTATCTGATAAGACAACACCTGCCAAGAGTTTGCAAGACTTAAGATGTCTATCCACAAGCATATTAACAATGACTTCAAAAAATTCACCACATACCTTGTAAACTGCCTTCAGCACTCTACGCAAAACAGCAGTCTTTTCTCAAAAGCCCAGGAAAGAATAATGGAGAACAATATAGAATAATAGGTAATATGCAGGAATTTACAAATTGTAAGAGTAAATGGTGAGTAATCCCAAAAGTATGCATCCTCTTTATGTAGTATGTCAAACGGTAAACTTTTTTCGATACCAGTAAAACATGAGAAGACCAATAAAGATCAAAGGAAAGATTGACATCGAGATATTTGACCTTCGAAACTGTGTTTATTAAGGAGTCTCCAATGGCACAAGCATTATGGGATCCCAAAATAGAGTATAGGGTCTGTCCATATCTCAAGCTAAAGTTAACAGCTTGACATTTAGATGGATTGAATAAGAGACCATTACCAACAGACCACCTTTCAATACGAGATAAAAACTCATTCATTTCTATGAGTTGTAAGGAGGTAGAAATCAGCATACATACAGTGAGGTCGTCCGCATATTTTACAAAAGTGTTTTCTGTGGAAGATGGCAGATCATGCAGAAAAAAAGAGAAAAGTAGGGGTGAAAGATCAGCTCCTTGTGGTACACCTACATTAGACAGTAGAGATGTGGAACCCTTTCCTTCAAAGACAGTGTACTGTTCTCTTCCAAAAAGGTAGGAACATAGCCAATTGGTTATCCAGCTGTCAGTATCGACGTTGATCAGCTTGTTAAATAAGAGGTGTCTTGGAATAGAATCAAAAGCAGAAGTTAAGTCCAGGAAAGCGCATCTAACATGCTTCTTACCCTTTTCCAACCCGAACACTATATTGTGATGCAGGTTTTCTATGTATGTCTAGCTTTAATTGACTCATGATCTCAACTATTAAAATATTAAATTCTTCACAAAACCTTGTCTGATCTTTTAATAGTTCAAAATACAAACCTAAAGTCTACTCTAAATCGATATTTGAATAACAAATAAATAATAAAGGAGTTTAGTTTTGAAAATTTGTTTGCTTGAAGAGAACAAATTGGCTCCAATCATATAAATACCTATATGATTGACTACTTTATTCTTGAATTTAATCATTTATCTCCATTGATTATTTATGTATATTCATTAATGAACTGATTACATGACATAATATGACTTCAGTATAGTTTTTAAATTAATGGATTCAAATTTCCTGTCATGAAGAAATTAAAAAAAAAAAATTTGGCATTAAAATTTTGTTGTTTAAATAATTCATTCTCTTGTAAAGTTTACTGTGAACAATGACAAATTAGTTGTCATTTATCAGGCTAAAAAGAAAGAAAATAAAGTTGTAATACTAATCCAATATCAAATGATATGTTGCTAACCGAAACAAATCATTGAAGTTATGTAATATGACACTATATGTAAAGATGGATGATCACTAAGAATGAAATTCAGGACGCGCGTTTCGTCCCATGTGGAACTTGTCAAATGGATGCAACTGCATCCTGGAATTGATGTTCATTCGTCAACTTGAGTCCATTACCGTTCGCTTCAAACGCCATGACATTATCCACTTAGTTACTGAGTCTTTATTCTTTATTAAGATCATAAGATAGGATGTTAACATACCACTACTACTATGTTATCCGGAAACTCAAGAAATATTCAGTTATATTTTATTAATTACTTAATTAGTGTCCTTAAAGATCCTTTTAAATTTTTTAATCCCTTGATTTTAGGTATTGCCACAATAACTGCTTTAATTCTTTATCCAATATCAGCTGAAACATGTATCCAAAATTTAATAAACCTTAATATATTCAAAATGAAATCATCTGATCATACTTCCACGATCAGTATATCTAGTAGCAATAACAATAAAAATCCTGTTTCTGAAGAAGATGTATCATTGACCAATATTGAGACACAATTTGGATATACATATTTTTTGACATGGATTGCAGCGCTATTTTTTGTCAACTCGTTTATATGCATGAATTTAGATTTATTGATACAATCATTCGTTCGACCAATACCACTTATTAGCAATACAATAAATAATTTAATGCCATGCCGTGGTCTGTCTACCTCATCGTTATCAGAATCACCAGTATCGTCTAAATCGTCACATTCATCTTGTCATCTTAATGAATCCGTTTATAATAAGCAAAGACATAAATGTACTGGTCAGAACATAGAACAAATGATAATATCAAACAGTAACCAAAATACTGAGATCAGTCCTAAAAGCAATCTACATTCTAAACGCAAACTAATAAAATCTCAACGAGAATTCGTATCATTCGACGATAGTATTACAGAAAATAGTCAACATCAACCTTATCAAGTACCAAACATTCTTTTGAGTGATTATGATAAAGAGTGTGAATTGATAAATTCACAAAATAAAGAATTGAGCAGGGAAAACTCTATTAATATTACTGATGAGATTGTTGTAGTTTCTGATGAGATTTTACAAGATTCAGGTCAAGATGGTGAATGGATTTAAATGAAACCAAATAGTTTCATATAATGACCATAAAATACAAGATAAAATATATGGATCCAAGTGCCTTGAACTGATAGAAATAGAATTATCGTTGTTCGTCTGCAAATTGTCCCAGAGAATGATTTTTAATCCATTATTCTGAAAAAGTGATTTGTCATCTCTTCGTCAGTGATTGAATTTTTTCCAACAGATGAAACTAGAATTAGTAATGGATCCAGTATTTAAATCAGGCAATAATTTGCATTACTTTCGTGTTTGGACATTATTTTAGATAACCGAATATTAAGAAAAAGATATACACATTTATAAACTTGTTGACCAAGATTAATGGTGACCACAATGAATCTTTACACATTTTCTTCCCTGAGAAAAGATATATACAAGTATATATACATCTTCAAACATTTTATTATTTTGTTTATCGAAATGCTATTTTTAAATATAGAACTGATGTCATTTCCGACTGTGGTTTTTAATACATTTAGAAGATTATGAACTTTATATACGAATAACTGAATTAGGTAGTCGACTGGAAATCATGTTTCACACTCATTAGTATGTTCTGTGATGAATTTCAACCGAAGCTTGGCAGATTCACAGCCTGAGAATTTACCATTGAGCTATTCGAGTGACAAGTTATCTGTACGACTGAGGTATTTATAAACTGTTGATTACCTAGTAGTGATGACTATCACAATTACTTAATACTTTAGCGCCAATAGATTAAATGGTTGGGTGGTGCAATATCTAACCAACTGGGAAACGTTAGCCCTCAAAAGATTACAGGTACACTTTACTGAAAAATGTCAAACAAGACTGCCCTGTTTAATATATGACGCGATGATTCCCGCCAATCAGAGAGGAGCGAATTTATCGATCAGAACAATGATACACGGGAACTGTATAAGCAGTCTTGAGCACTTAACAGTCCTGCTATCTGCCTAGTTCAGCCAGTTAAGTCCAGAACACCAATAACAGCCTCTGCAATATGAGTCATTATTTTCAAACATACTGGGTTTATATACCAAACAAACTGATCACATCGTACCATAAAATAGAAAATAACATTTGTACAAGTTTAACCAAATGTAACTGTGAATCTGGGGAACAGTAATTAGTCAACTTAGTATAATTCAAGAATAGTAAATCGTACAGTAATAGTCCATGGGTCAAAATAAAGATCATGATAAAAGGAACATTAATATGAATACTTAAGTTACTTAACAATTATACATATACATATACATACATATACATATCATATTCGTCCATAAATATTTCTCAAATTTACCGTTCATAAATCGCTTCGGGATATAACAATGACGAAATATAAGTTCAGGATCCTTTGAAGACTATTTCCAATCATCTAGCATCTCAACATAGTACACGCAATATCAAGTCACTTAGATTTGCAGCTAAACTACAATTTGATTTATAAACCTCGATCAGCACTACGAAAGCTAAATGAAGGTGACATCGATCACCAATTTGTGACCAGTTAATCAATAATATCTGTTTTGTGTACATTTAGTCAAAGTCAACAACGTTTGGTAGCCTCTTGAAATATTTATAAATGAAACAAACAATTTAGTTATATTTAATATAGTTAAGATCATGAGTCAGTTGAAGCCAGACCACCATCGAAAACCTGGAAGCACTGGACGGCCGTTTAGTCTTATTATGGGACTCCTCAGCAGCGCGCATTCACGATCCCGCTCTCTCGAGATTCAAACCCAGGACCTACCAATCTCGAGCCAGATAACTTAACCGATAGACCACTGAGCCGGCATCCAACGGCGTTAATGTCTAACCTCATATGCTCACTAGTGACTGGCTGTATGAGGTAATTCCTGGAGTTCTGGTGAGAAGTCGTGGCTAGTGGAGCTAATCCATGTCAGGTAGAGACAGGTATCTACCTCAGTACAATGGAAGTTGGTTGCGCAATTTCGTGGATTGGTTGAGGTTAGACATTAACACCGTGAGATGCCGGCTCAGGGGTCTAAAGGTTAAGTGCTCTGACGCGAGACTGGTAGGTCCTGGGTTTGAATCTCGCGAGTGCGGGGTTGTGGATGCGCACTGCTGAGGAGTCCCATAATAGGACGAAACGGCCGTCCAGGGCTTCCAGGTTTCCTATGGTTGTCTGGCTTCAACTGACTCATGATCTTAACTATATAAAATTACTAGAATCTCCACAAAACCCCCTTGTGATAATTTAGTTAAACTTTCTCATTTCTTACTTGAATTAAAAATAAGTGTAGGATTGTAGAGATTGTTGAGTTTCAATTGAGATCATGAACCTACCAATGTTAGACCCCCAATTAAAACTTGGAGGCACTGAGCGGCCATTTCGCGCTAGTATGGTGCTCCTCGGCAGTGCACATTCACGATCCCGCATTCAGGAGTCGAACACGGGACTTTTAGTCTCCCGCGCGAATGCTTACCTCGAGACCAATGGTGTTCATGTCTAATTTCAAACAAGCCACGAGTCCTTTGTGAGAGACGGCCGTTCAGTGCTTCTAGGTGTTCAGTGGTGGTTTAACATTGGTCGACTCATGTTCTCAATTAAATTAAAAACCTAATCTAACACCTCAAATATTTAATTAATTCGAGAACGGGTGATGCTATGTACATGTTAGCCTGTCACCCCAACAATATTTTATTGTTTTACAGAAATTCTTACTTAAATTTGAATATATATATAGTTAAAATCGACTATGACATATTAACAATTGTTTTGTATGGAATTTACACATATGATAGTTTCTAAAGTCATTTCATCACCAAAGAAAATTTATTCAGAAACCATTATTTTAAACATGTCTGCTTAAGATTATAATATTGACAATATTCACTTCTCAGTATTAACTAATGTTGAAATGATGTCAATTCGCTTTCTATACTACCTCGAAATGAAAATTGATCTCATAATTTTGTATTTTCTGTAAAGTTAAAATGTTATTTGTATATTACATTGTATACTTTATATTATATTGGTTAGATAGTTTTGTAGCGGTAAATCAACTCGTAAAATCAATAGCTGTGTAAGGCTTCGACTTTTGATGCTGACCGCATTAGTTTTAATGGAAGCACCTAGCTGAAGGCGCTCAGTCACACGTCCTCACCAGATCACAAGTGGGTACGCCGTGCTTTACATCTCCCACAACCGCCAACCAGCTGAGACTGATTACTTCTCGATATATCGATAGACTATCCAATATACCTTCGAACATCTTAGCTTCTGACTTCTGATTTCACTGAGTTGGCATATTTCGATCGTAAAAGGTGTTACTAGTTAAGACGTTGTCAAACTCCAAATACTTGTGGTATCTTTAGTTTTAATATTTAAAATGTTTACATACAAAATGATTTTTGCTGTTATAAATAGAGATAATGGTGGCCAGCAGTGGATTCCAGTACTCGCGTTTCCTTCCTTCTCTTTGTGACTTAAGGCAATCCGTACAGGATTCACATATGCCAATAAAAGAGATTGATCAATTACAGTTCTAAACATCAATGAGAAGATTAAAAAGAACCATTATAAAAACAAATTAAACTTTGTCATTGTTAGTAATATGCATCAGATTTGCATATAAATTAGAAAAATTCTTATTTTTCATGAGTTAGTAACATATTAATGATAATCTATAAAGATAAAAGAATAGAAACTTTAATCTGTATTCATACAAAAAAATATTTTTACTACCACTATTATCCCCCTTTTTTGTTGTTGTTGAGAAGATGTCTCTACCCATTATATGTTATTAGTGGGAATAAAAGATTATTAAACATAATTTGATTTTTACTATCAGATATTTTCATAGTTGAAATCATGAGTCAATTAAGGCTAAACCAATATGGAAAACCTCCAAGCACTCAATGGCCGTTTCGTTCTATTATGGGACTCCTCAGCAATGCGCATCCACGATCCCACCTAGCGAGAGAGATTGAAATCCAGGACCTATCAGTCTCGCGCGCGAGCGCTTAAACTCTAGACCATTGAGCCGTCATCCAACAGTGTTAATGTCTAACTTCAACTAATCCATGAAGTCTGAGCTACCAGATATTTATGATGAAATTAATTATATCTGATTACCTAATATTCTCAAGTATGTTGATTTATGGCAAAACAAACCTTCATCTGATCAGGATAAGAAATAATAAAAAAAGTTCGTTATTCGTTGTGTACAAGATTTCGATAATGTTAATCATAATAGTATATGTGAACGGACAGTATTGTTTTCAATTAAACCGCCACTAAGCTTTACTCTAATATACATGAATATATCTTTATACAACGAAACGACGAAGACATACAATAGATCACTATAAATGATTTTATTTTATCTACCATATGACCACTGCCAACTTGGTGCAGCAAGATAGAGCTGCATATTGTTTTTGTTTGGCTCTTTCCAAACCAAGCTGAAAGATTGTAGGTATCATTACCAAAATTTGATTTGATGATTTTGAATAAATTAAGCAAGCTGAAAGAAATTTTGTTCTTCATTCGTTAGGTTACCTGGTAGTACTCCAAATATAGCTATCTCAACAGGGACAGCTGAATTTGTAGATGTACACATGTTGATTTTACATGTTAAGCTACATCAGAAGCAGTTGATGATGTTCATATTTACAGTTAGTATTTTTCTTACAACATTTGTAATCCGTTTATGTTATTAAAAACTATTTGTAAAATAAAATTCATCACAAGGAAGTATACTTTTATATTCGTTGTTGTGTAATTCATGATATCAGAAGGGGATTTTGTAGATATTATAGTAATTTTAATAGTTGACATCATGAGTCAATTGAAGCTAAAACAACATGGAAAACCTGGAATTGCTGGATGGCTGTTTCGTCCTATTATGGGACTCTTCAGTAGTGCACATCCACAACTCAGCCCCAACTGATAAAATTACTATAATATTTACAAAATCCCCTTCTAATATTAATTCATATATGCTGACTAGTGACTGGCTTCAAGAGGTATTTCCTGCAGTTCCCAGGAGAGGCAGTGACCAGTGGGGTTCATAATACTTAATAATCATTCTTGTAATATTGCATAAAATAATTTGTAAGAGGAAAACCATTACTTCATCCACAAAATCTCCTGTGCTCTTAAAACAATTAAAAAAAAGAAAGTGGTTTTTATCAAGTGATATCAAACGAAAATCAGTTGAACTCATTGAAAATATCAAAGTTTTACCAAAATTCATGAATGTGTTTAAGATATACCTGTGATCAATAGTTTCAATATTTGTCACTGACATGAAACCTAGATATGCATTTAAAATATATATGTACACCATCAAAATATTTGTACCGTCTGACCAACGGAACAAAAACTGCTTTCAATAAAGACATCAAATGTAACATAGGGAAATCGTTTTGACGATTATATTATCAAGCTGGAAAATCGTATATAGGTATAAAATGTGAAAAATGAATAAAACTAACAAT